ATTTTAACCAATATATTTGAGTGAGAGTAAGTATAAACATTTTCAAACTGACCCAATTCATTTAAATAAAAATGTTGCAAAAAAAATGAAAAAAGACAAAATATTTTTTAGAACTTTCAGTTACAAACAAATATCAAGAATATGTTTGATTTACCTGTGTAAAGAAATTAATATTGGTTGAAATCTAACTTGTTTATGTTAGCACTATTTACAGTCGCTGTCACATTTACATAATTTTAAGTAAAATGTGTTGGTTATAATTTACTGTAATAAAAACTAAGTGTAATTTTTACAGCAGTTTTACTTTTTCCAACAGTTTGTTTTCACAGTGAACGGTGCAGAAGGTGGTGAAAAGTGCTCAGAGCATTGTTGCAGACTCACTTCCTGCCAGTGAGGACGTCTACAGGAAACACTGTCTCAGAAGAGCAATAAATGTTTGAAATGACTCCGTCCATCCAGCGCACAGACTATTCACCCTCCTGGCCTCTGGGCGGCGCTACAGCAGCATTCGGACCAAGATCACAAGATTCAGGAACAGTTTTGTCCTCACAGCTGTCTTCCTGCTGAACTCCACCCCTCGACGCCCCACTCTCTCTCCCCCTCACACTCAACAACCCCTCTGGACTGAACTTGCCTGTAGAGCTCTGCTGACGATGACTCTGACATCATTTTACCATTAAATACTCTTTTTTTATCAGCTGTGTTCTGTGTATAATGTCACATTTGGTTCGTCTACATTGACCTAATCTGTTCCTATCTGTACATACATGCAGCAAGAAAGACTTATATAAACATACTTTTTACTGTACGTGTTTCATATCTCAAGGTTTGAGGTTAAGTGCTGCTTATTTAGCTGGTTAGACTTCTGGTTATACTGTTGCCTTGAACCTGTGATGTGCGATGACAATAAAATTGAATTGAATCTACATTTAAATAAACAAATACAGGTTATCTTACTGAAAATAAGTTGGAAACAGAACACATTTGACCACTTCAGCAAATTCTATTTACTAGTTTAAACACTTGAATAAAAGTTAAATATTCATCATGACATGGGGAATAGTTTAATCTGTTCAAAACTCCTGTTGTTTGACTCCAAATCAGAAAACTACTACTTACAGATATGATGAGCTACTAGATGAGAAACTACCAACAACCAAGTCACATAGTAGGGTTTTGTTGTGATATCACAGGGGTTTTCATTTGGACTTTACCTGTAGCTTCTGGTGTATTTGTTGCCTCTGAAGCTTGGTCGTGGCTGGTACTGGCCCTGATGGAGCATGGACAGAAGCTGTGAGACTTGCTACAATCCCCAGAGAAACAAAGAAAAAAGACAAAAAGGACAAAAATAAAAGGAAAAAATGAAGAGGGGAAATGAATGAAGTCAAATAACCAAGACCACGAGACAATGTTGGGAGGTAGGGGTGCAATACGAGGAAGGACTAAATGATAAAGGGGTGACATGAATCTGTGATTTGCTGCTGAATGTGATGGTCAAACAAAACACAACAGGGAGGACTGAGAATAATAAAATATGGGACTGACAAATAAAACTCAGAACAAAAACCAAAAGAATTGTTTTAAGTACATCATTTCAGTGGGTTTTTTTAAAATCAAATTTAAAAAAATTGTTACTTTTGGCAAACTTTCAAATTAAACATCCAGTTTAAGAGAAAATGTGTAAGAAAAAAAATAAGACGTCGTACCTCTACAGGAGGTGTGGCGTGGGCCAACTCCAGGGCAAAGTTCTCTGGCACGTGATTGGAGGAGATGGTGACGAGGCTGTTGAGTGACTGCCGGCTATGATGGCTCTGCCTGCTTCCCAGAGTGCCTCTCTCAGGTATGGGGGAAGGCAAGGGGGAGTGTGGGTGAGATCGAACAGGTAAGGTTCCATTGACGGTGGGGACCAGAGTAATGTCTGTCTTGTGGATCTGCCTGGCAGGCTTCTTGGGGTGGTTCTGATAGCTGCTCTCTGCCACACGGCAGTTGTAGTTGTGCCTGGAGTCTTTTTTCTCCCGGCTGCAGCGGCTGGTTGCGAACATCACCATGACAATTAGAAGCAGAGCACAGACAGCACAGAGAGAAATGATGACGATGAGCGAGAGATCGAGTGAAGCCTGGCTGGAGCCGGTGGGGTAAAGAGGGGGCATATCCATGTTTTCCTGCAGGGTGAGCCTGAGGAGGGCCCCTGTGGTTAACCGGGTGGTTCCTCTGTCCTGTACTTCCACTCTAATCTCCATCACATCCCGTGAAACCTGGTCCAAACTGGCATTGGTTCTGAGCTCGCATCGCCGAACGTCCATCACAAACAACCCGTCCTCGTTCCCGCCAACGATGGCACAGCTCACCTCTCCATTGGCACCAGAGTCCCGGTCCGTAACTTTAAGTGCCGTGACCAGCTGACCAGGAGATGCATACTTCCACACAGGAAGCTCAGCTGTGTGATTCCTGAGAGTAGGGGAGTGGATAAGGGGTGGGTTGTCGTTTTCATCCAGAACTGTGAGCAAGACGGTAGTGTTGGCTGACAGAGCAGGGTTCCCCCCGTCACGAGCCTGAACTGTGAAGGCTATGCGGCTCACGTCTTCATGATCAAAGCTGCGCAAGGCGTAGATGGCTCCATTTGAGAGGTCGATGGTGACGTAGGTAGAAATGGGGCTCTCTTTAATCATAGCGTCCACAATGGTGTAGGTGACCTGACCGTTTGTCCCCAAATCCAGGTCTGAGGCCACCACTGTCATTAGGTAGGCCCCAGGAGAATTGTTCTCAGATTGAAAAACCTCATAGCGGTTCTTCTCAAAATGTGGAGGGTTATCGTTTTCATCCAGCACCTGAACCGTGAAGTGTTTGATGGTGGACAGGCTCGGGGAACCCCTGTCCTCAGCGATAACAGTCAGGCTGTACTCTGACCTCTTCTCCCTGTCGAGCGAGACGTTAGTGAGGATCATGTAGTTCTTCTCGTGGGTCTTTTGGAGCCTGAAGTGGCCGTGGCCATGCAGCCTGCACACCACTTCTCCATTGAGGCCAGCATCATTGTCATCAACATGTACCAGAGCTATGAACGTGTCCACCGGGGCCCCTTCTGAAATGTACGCTACTTCCTCTTTGCCTTGAGTCATCAAGTTGATGTTTATTTCTGGCTTGTTGTCATTCACATCGACCACTTTCACCACGATTTTACAAAGTCCGGGGATAGAGTTCGGACCCAGGTCCTGAGCCTGGACATCTAGCTCATATGACACAGTGGTTTCATAGTCAACTTTTTTAATCAGAGTTATGTGTCCATTTTGTGGATTTATCTTAAACGTTTCCAAGATCTTTGGTGAAACATGGCTACTGAAAGAGTAGACAATTTTACCATTTGTTCCCTCATCTGGATCTGTGGCGTTTAAATCAATGATGAGGGTCCCAAGGGGAGAGTTTTCCAGCAAACTGATGACATAAGCCTGTTCATCAAAAGCGGGGCTGTTGTCATTGGAATCTGAGATACTTATCTTGAGTAAAGTGGACCCTGATTTTGGGGGCACACCATTATCTGAGGCAGTGAGCTGCAGCTGGTAGCTGGACTGGACCTCCCGGTCCAGTTCCCTCATAACCACCAGCTCTGCGTACTTGGCCCCGTCCGTCCTGGTCCTCACGTCGATCTTAAAGAAGTTGTTGGGTGTCAAGGAGTAGGTGTGGAGGGAGTTCTCACCCACGTCTGCGTCCACGGCGCCGTCCAGCGGGACGCGCGTCCCCACCGACGCGCTCTCGGAGATCTCAATGGGCACGATGGCGCGTGAGAAGTGCGGGGAGTTGTCGTTGATGTCCAGCACCTCCACCTCCACGTGGAACAGCTGCAGGTACTCCGTGGGCAGCGTCACCACGTCGAACTCGATGGAGCAGTTCAGGTTTTTCTCGCAGAGTGTCTCGCGGTCTATTTTGGTGCCGATGCTGATCTCTCCGTCCTCCTCGCGGACGGACAGGAGCGGCGCGCTGCCCCGCTGCATGGCGCGGAACCGAAAGCTCAGGGAGCCGGGCAGCTTGGACAGAACCCCGGAGACGTCCTCCTTCAGGCGGGCGATGACGGTCCCCACTTTCTGCTCCTCATAAACTTTGTATTTGAGGGTTTTTCCGGCGGTGCCCTGCAGAGAGAGCAGCAGCAGCAGCAGCTGAGCCGCACAGAGAACAACTCCTCTGGTTCCGATCACTTTTGGCCCCATCTTCTGTGCGCGCTGTGTCGAAGACTTCCACAGAGGAAGAGGAGAGGGGACGATATATCCTCACAAGTCTGGCATGTTAAATCCACAGGCACTGCATGTTGACAGAAAAAAACAAACAAACAAACAACAAATAAAAAAAAAGAGAAACAAGAGGAGAGTGCACAGACTGATCTGCGCTCTGCTCCTGCAGACCGAACTGTTGCCTCTTTCTCCTCTCCTCAGTGTGTGTGTGTGTGTGTGTGTGTGTGTGTGTGTGTGTGCTGAATGTGTTTAGGGATAGGAGTGTGTGTGTGTAAATATGTGTGTGTCTGAGCAAAGAAAGGAAGGCACAG